TCCCCGCGGAATTGATGTTCGGCAGAAATCTGAGAACGAGGCTTCATTTGTTGTTCCCGAACCCGCGTGTTGAAGTACAGGAGCGTCAGAAAAAGCTTGTGTCTTCAGAGGAATCAAAGCCGGAAGTTACATTTCAGGACCATCAACCTGTTTACACCAGGTTACCGCATGAACAATGTTGACAGCCGGCGACTGTGCTCGATTCTTCAGGAAGTCAAAACGATTTGCAGCTTCCGGACGGCCGGGTTGTTCGCCGGCACTCAGATCATGTACGCCCCAGGAGCACTGACACACCTGCCGTGAGTCAGTCACACTCGGAGATCGCAGAGCAAGCTGCAGAGCACGACGAACACAGAACAACAGGGGAAACTCAATTACGCCGATCGACCCGGATTCGCAAACCGATCGAACGTTTTCAGCCATGACTGTAACTTCAGCCAAAACAGGGAGGACTGTTACGTGTCCAACCAATGATCGCTCACTATGACCCTGAACCTGATTGGCCCTACACACACACGTAGATAAGCACGCACACACGCACTCAAGGACACACCCTAAAGTTCCGTGCTTACATGTAAACCGTTAAGTGTTCAGTACACTGTGCGCCAGACTGAAGCGTCTTCTTACTTATTCGCTACGAGTTGAAATACGTACTTGCGGTTAGAGTCCAGTTGTGATACTGGCTTAATCCGGCTTACAGCGACAGCCTCAGAAAACCGATACAAACGGGGATTAGTGTGGCGTAACACAATTTGAAACGCTGAGCCTACTTCTATCCGGTGTTCCGAGTCTAATAAATGTTCGCTTATCGTGGAAGCCGGCGGTCTGCGCGAACATAGAATCTGACGGGGTAGGAAATCTGAGCAACTTCACGCTGAACACATCTTGGTACATCTTCCCTTATTCGGGAAGTCCGAGTCCTATTAGTTCTGTCTATGTAACTGTTTCCGCAGTCACATACAAATTGGTATACACAGTGTGAGTTGGCCCCAATAGGCTGAGCTTCCTTCGTTGGAGCCATGGGCGAATTTTAGGTTCGGTTGATGACGACAAATTGCGCAGCATAGTAACTTCCTTGTGTAGCCGAAATTATACGCCTAGTTGTTTTCGGCGTGGCTAAGTCACCTTTGAAAGCTAACTCCATATACACTTTCTTCTTGGTTGCAGTGAGCATGGCGTCCTTTTTCCCTCACGGTTGGCTGTGTTTCTCGATAAATATTCGAGGGTAGCCCTTAGCCGTGAATGTTGCTGCAATTAACGCTAGTTCATCGTCCAGACAGTCGGCCGAACAACTTCGTCTGGCACGACTAACTGGAGTCGTCACAAGTGTCCGTTTGTACCGCAGTGGTGTGAAGCTGATAAAGTGCAGGTACTGACCGGACCAAGTTGATTTTCGGTAAGTGGACCTCTTAATCTATCCATCATCCCTGGGACTTATGAGTATGTTCACGTACGGCAGACAATCGCTCTGTTCTATTTCGCATTTAACCCGTAAGTCAACATGAGCACCATTGAGCCCTTCTACCAAAAGTGTGAGCTGCTGCTCCGACGAACAGAATGCCAAGATATCATTGACATATCGTTTGTAGTAGGGCACCTGGGATATTTCCGTATATATGCTTCTTTCTACCATCAGCATGAAGAAATCAATGAGCACAGAACCTAATGGGCTACCCATTGCTACGCCGTCAATTTGACGGTGTGATATAATCCCGAAGTGAAAATCCACATTGTCCGTGAAGAATAGTAGAGATTCCCTTAGCAATTCGGTCGGAATTGGTTGCGAACCGTCAACGTTTTCAGCGAATTCGCACACGTAATCAACCGTCTGATGTAGCGACACGTTGGTAACTAAGGATTCTAAATCCAAGGAATATATGACTTTGTCTGACAGGTTGAGTTCATTCAGGTAATCAACGAGTTGAATCGAATCTTTAAGACCTTACGGATTGAATTGTTGTTTCAGCGGAGTTAGCAACTTCACTAACCGACGAGCGAGTTTATGCTGGGACGTGTTCATCATTGAAAGGATTGGCCTGAGTGGCACTTCACAACACAGCAGTGTTCAGCTACTCCGATACGCGGCCCAACTGCGCACCTATTTACCATGCTCTTTTGCAAACTACCACCCGTCGTGGTAGCTATTTTCCCCAACTTAATAACCGATTGCATATGCTGTGAGTCGCCCCGTTTTGTTCGTAAAATAGCATTCAGAGGACCCACTTGAGTTTCTTCCTCTCCGCCTTAGTTTGGAGTCGGTCGGTCACGTGCTTTTATGTGTGTCGTTAGCCGGCAGCGTTCGCGTCTAAGTCACTAGCGCGCGTCAACCGTAACCCCCTGTCTTGTGCGTCCGTTCCGAGGGCTCAGCTTCTACCCGAATACGTGCGGCTAGGATCGTTCTCACGCTCGCTCAATTTCCGTCTCACCAGCGGGTACACCGGGCTAAGCTAACGTCATCAGGTTAGCGCAAATCCTTTTGATTGGCCAGCTTTCCAAGCCGTTACCATAGGCGTACTCCAACCGTGTCAGTGACAATCTTATCAGGCATCTATGCAACTACAACAAGAAGATACAAAGGTGAGCGCTGGAACTCAAGGATTTGCGTCTGTTACGCGTTGCGGATTTCTGAAGTTGTGGTGCTCAGTGGTGGGGGGTCATAGGAAATGGAAAGGTTTAAAAGGGGGCCACCGTTGACTAAAGATTGCGGACGGCTGGTCCAGGGCTTCGGGTACTACTTTACAAGCTCCAGCATTACGAGTTCGCTGACCCTCTCCTAAGCTGGATTGCCAATTTTCTATTTCAACCGCAATTAGTGGTCAGCTTTCGGAGCTCTTTACCGAACCCTGTGCAAGTCGAATGTGGTATGCCGCAAGACTCAATTCTAGGTCCACGTTTGCTTTTGGTGTTTATTAATGAACTTGCAGGGAATCCCTTCAAACTTCCTAGTGTTTGTCGAGGATATCAAGATTTCTTTCAGTATTCAGGCGAACGCCGACCAGCATCTTCAGAGTGACCTATACACGGTCTATTAATGGTCTACCCAAAAGTTAATGTATTTTTACGTGAGTAAACCCAAGGTACTTTCCATCCGGCATCAGAGCAGCTACTCATACCGGCTCGGAACGAATGTACTGCAACCATCAACTGTCGAACGTGACTTGGACTGCCTCAGGCAATCTTGGCTTTTACCTTCTACGAAAATTACACTACTCACAAAAACCACCAGTAATCCGAAAAGGCCTCGAAGACTAGAAACCAACACGGGCTGTTACTACGCGCGTTTGGATGAATAAACACCTCCATATTTCAACAAATGCTCACTGCGTAAGTTCGCCCCCCCCCCATATCCATGGTTGAAACACGACCTTACTGCACTGGAGCAGCCACGTCGGGCACCTGAGAACGTTTTTGGAATGCGCAATCTTTCATACGAAAAAAGAAACTTCGACGATTGGGGTATTCAGTAAAAGCTATCGCAGATTACGAGGAGGCAAGACCAACATCATGTGTGCGGCCTTGTAGTACAACTCAGTAGCAATACAAATCTGAGGAGCCAATCACTGAAACACGCAGAAGAGGATAGCCGTCTGGAGTGCCGCAGAACTATCTTTTCCATTCGTGTCTGTCACCCGTGGAATGCTGTCCCGGAATCGGTCGTCTCTGCACCGATACTAACAGTATTTGAAAGATGGTTGGATGATGTACTCACGCACTTACACTTTGTCACTTAGTGCTATATCTCCAGCCTACTCCTGGCATTCATCATGAAATTATTTGAAGTTAACTGCGGGTGCTGTGAATCTACGCCGACTGTAGGGCTACAGCGAAGCAAAGGATAAGTCCTTATTTCCATACTCAAACTATTAACTGTTTTACTATTCTTATCCTCAGTATTATTGTAATTTAAATATCCCCACCAACTATTCAACGGGACTTGCAAAGCAACACTTCTTAACCCGAATAAATTCACTGTTCATTATTCATATGGAGAGACCTGTTGGAAACGTTGAGGATTATGAAGGGTCTCAGTGGCGTTAAGCCTAAGAGTATTGTTTGCAGGCTTGGGCACCTTACTTTCGAAAGGATGTCGCCTACTTAGAGAACGTACAATGACTGACCACCAGAATGATTGAGGACCAACAGCAGACGTTGTATGTTGACCGACTATTTTTAGATTTGGTCTCATTGAAACGACGCAGACTAAAGAGAGACCTGATAGAAACGTTTTAGATTATGAAGGGTCTCAGTGGCATTAGGACTACCGATCTCTTGAAATAACTACGTCGGACCACTTGATGGGACAGCAACTGAAGCTCACGACGCATAGGTGCAGACTAGATATCCGAGCAAAAGTATTCACTGACCGCGTAATAACTAGTTGGAATTTGCTTCCTCTGCACAAGTGGAATGTAATACTATAAAAGCCTTTAAGAGACCTATATATGAATTGGTTCACTCTGTTTCCGGAATTGCACTGAGATTAGTGGATTTCACTTAGTACCAATAGGATGTCCTGAATAGTTTCATGAAGTTATGAGAGGTTCCTCTTACTCTTTTTTGTCTCTGCAGAAGTGAAGCTTGAATGTCAAATTGCCCGGGGACCTTGACTTACTTACTGGCACACGAAATGGGACGCCCATTAGGCGAAGGCCTGTTTAGTCCCTGAAAACCTGACCTGACCTTAACAAACCGAGTTCAGAGAAGACTATTTATAAGTATGACGCGTTCGAATAGTTATACCCACATCTAGAGAAAACACCTGCACACATATATGCACCAGAAAACTGCGTTTCTCGCCAAGCTCCGATGAAGCTCGTTTCATTAAGTGTCTAGGGACACGGTTTCGATTGTTAGTTATGTGACTGCCGTTCAACACTTGTACACCGAGTCACCAGTCGTCAATCCAGAAATTACCCGGTAGATAGCGAGCCAATGTCATGTCGAGGGTTGGGGGAGGGTCTGGTGCCGCTTGAACATGAAGACAAGGGTTTTTAACTCACTTTGCTAGAATACAGTCCGCGTGCTTTTTTTGCGCCTGATCCAGCTCCAACGTAACTGCATCCAAGTGCGATTGCATTTCGTAAATCTCCTTGCTTTTCTTCACTGATTGCCTAGAACGAACATACAGAAAGGCGCGTTCATCTTTTCGCGTAATAATGTTACTCAGCGTTGTGCAAATTGAGGGTAGGTCAGAAACAGTTATACTTTGTTCCGTATACGTCTGGGCTATTGTGACTTACGCTACATTTAGCTGAAGTAATTGTTTTATTATGGTGAGACAATAAACTGATGCATTTGAAGCAAAGCTTGGTCTTGCTGCAATCAGCAAACTATATGTAGAGCTAGTTCTCAGCTGGAATTTCTATCTATGGGTTGTTTAGCTCACCCGTGTATCTGCTACTAATATCACCGTATCAGTAGGCTAGATTTCAAGCCTAGCGAACCAAACCCCCTAGCATGAGAACATAAATGGTTGTATGTAATAAACGACTACGAAAAAGTGGATGCGGCTGTCTTGCCTGTCTGCGGACTAGCTGAGAGAATGCCAGAAACAATGTACCATAATGTTTGCTCAAAAACCGAGTTATTTGATGCACTGAGCCTCAGCGCAACCTATTATGGCTGGATTGATGTTGCTAACGAATGTGATATTGTGCGTGTAAAATTGTATCTACTCAAGGAACCATTTTTTCAAAATCAAGCTTAAAGATAAACGTGCACTGGGGACTTGAGAAACCAAAGTCTTCTCACTTTCCCAACTTTGTGCTTTCCGTTTCAAGTTGCAAATGACATGTGGTTAACGCTTCCAGCTCTTCCTTCATGCGACTGCACTCCACTACGGATTCTTGTAAAACTTTCTCCGCTTCCCTGCAAAAAATAGGAAGTTATGATCTCAGATATGGAAAATTGAGGAAAAGATGTTAGATTGGTGGGTAAACTTTCATTCTGTGTCTGTACACCTCGTTCATTGGGACTGTGCAATGAGTGAATGTTTAGTAAGCCGAAGACCGAAAGTTGCTTGAGGACGTCGCAAAGTGTTCTCCACTTACTATTGGGCTTGCAAACAGTGAGCCCGATTTGGGTTGCGGTGGCCATACCCATCAGCCGATAGCCCTAGTGCACAGCGTTCGATGTTGGTAAAGTAATAATTCGTCCCTCATCGAAATGTTAGTTATAAATAAATATAAATAAATACATAAATAAACGTTTTATTTTTCAGCAGTGCGAGGCATAGACCAATTGGGAGCTCTTATCAACATGTACAAAGTGATCGCATAATATAGTTAATTATTCGTCCTTTGATCATTGGTTCCCATATGGGTTTTTGGATTGATTAGCAGTTTGGAAAAAGTAGAGATAAAGAAACTGGGAACAATAATAATTGTAGATTTCACGGAAAGTTCAAGTAAAGTAATACGGTCATCCATGGAGCTGTCCCCAGGGGACTTGCTTCCATGCCGGGTATTTCCACGATGGGTTTCACCCTCACTTCCATGCTCCAAATGGCTCTGTGCCTGTGTGGCAAGATAGTAAATTGGCCATCAGAACGAGGTATTAAATGTCTTTTTTAGGGCTGTTTTATGCATACATTATAGGCGCTGAAGCCTCAGCCCCTTCTGTCATGCGGATCAATCAAGTATGGCACTTTTTTATTTTAAGCCAGCGAGTCAGTAGTAATATGATTTGCATGGGTATACTTTTTTAATCTGGAAGCTGTAATCCGTCGCCACAAATGATCAGTCCAGTCATCACAAACGGTGAAACAAAGAAGAAGATAAAGTATGAGGATTTATAAAACATATTGATGAGTACAAACGCTTGCCGATAGGCCAGTCACAATTTGATGGCGAATCTTGGCGAGTGACGACGATGGTACAGAGACATCAGCTTAAAAGGCGTAGTGCATCTACGAACCAGTGCGTCAAAGGAGAAAACAGAATTGGTTACACGGATTGATAGATCATTCTCAAATATATACTCAAGAATTCAACTATATGTAGGTAACCTTAAATTATTGAAACGAATAGAGGATATGGTGACTTTCATATGTATCCAGGACCTTTCTCATACAAATCATCTAGAGTATTGTTAAAATATCTCCTAATACAATCACACTGGTTTACTTTGTGCGACCTTTAATGATTGAAAGTTGGTCAGTTCATATATGATCCATACTTGAGCACATACCGCCAGCACCATCCGTTATCCGAAAAGAGCACATTATGCTGGCCACTGGAAGAAAGACCGATTTTGACAAAACTGCCGATCCACATCAATAGATTTGCAGGTGACGGATGGTGCCGCCGTAAACGCAACGATGATGTGCGTAAGCGGGGGCCAAGCTAGTTCCTTGGGACAACAGATAGCAATGAATAACCTACGTTGGCTTGGGTGCGTACTAGGTGTACCCAGCCATCGCTTTCCGAGGAAAAGCTTGCTTTGTTTAATAAACTATGCCCATTCTGATGTCAAAAGGAGATAGCGAAGCAGCTTTTTCCGGTAAATCTCTTCAGACAATTACAATTGAACTTTATAATCATTTGCGCAGTAGTTGTTCCAAACGATGCGACACAAAGTCTTGAATGTTGCAATCGGATGAACGGTGGCAATCTATGTCTCTTTGAACCCACTACCATGGACCATTATGCCAGCAGTCAGATGATCAGGCTAGGGCCACGGTAGGGTTAAACTCTGCATAAGTGCACGCTGTTTACCCAGTTCCGACTTCAGTTGTTTGGTCGCCATTGCTTCTGCTGTGGCCAGTAGGCTCTTCCTGAGTCCTTTTGTGCAGCGTTTTGCCGATACATACACAATTTGGAAGCCTCTTGCCTTTGTATGTTATGTACACTATCTACTAGGTACTCTAGGATGGAGCTGTGGAGATTGCTGGTGGTACCCCGAAAAGAAGTTTCCTCTCAATTTCCTTGCTTTCTTTGCCGTATGTAGTATGATGTAAGGCTCGAGGTAGTCAAAAGTTAACTTGGCAGCAGGAAATGAAGCCACTGACGACCGAACTGGGTGCCGCTGGTCCATCATGTCTTCCAAGCTGGAGTCCACGTGACCCGCCTTGTGCTTGGCTCGGGACGTTAAAAAGCATGACTCGCAGTCGGAACCAGTGGCCTGCTACTGGTGTCTGGTAGTCGGACTGCCTGTTTAAAATGGGTTTGGTGCTGGGTTAGCGGCTAATTTTGACGCGAGGCAGTGAAAGCCTCAGAGACTGTCCCACCAATGTCGTTTTCCCTTTGTAGGGTTGTCGGCTCTTTGTGCCCGTGTGTTGTTGACAAGGTGTAGAAGTCATGGCCCTGAATATTGGCTTAAGGCATGGAGGTTTTACGCTAAACTTCTCTTCTCTCGCTCTTATTATTCTTCGTTCCGTAAGTCATTATGGTTGCACAGCAGCGAAGCGCCAGTACAAGGAGCTGATGTACTACTACTGATTATGGTAATGATCAAGTACGTACTTGAATTTGAGGTAGTTCTTGATCTCTTACCGGTTCTTCTAGTCAATATAAGTCCTCAGCATGACGCTGAAGTTTAAGGGCTTCCGTCGATTGCCTAAGAACCCCGATAGTTCCTAACGATAGAGTCTTTTCCATCATCAGAGCCATTAAAACTTAATCCTGAAAGGTGTGAATCCCCAGATTTGCAAGTGCTTACCCAAGATGTCTGGCTTTTAACTTCCACACAACTATATACCTAACTAAGGTTTAACTTACTTTGACAAGTTCAGCATCTCAACGAGAGATGTGGTGTTGTATATATTGCACTGGGGTTACTCTTGCAAACCATTTTTCATCTTTTGGAAAGCTATCCGCACTTATAACTTTATATATAGACGTTTCTTATCTTCTCTACTGCAGTGTCAATCCTACTCTACTAAGTGACTATATCGCCCCTTGTCGAAAATTACGTTATCATCATCATCATCATCATCATCATCATCATCATCATCATCATCATCATCATCATCATCATCATCATCATCATCATCATCATCATCATCATCATCATCATCATCATCATCATCATCATCATCATCATCATCATCATCATCATCATCATCATCATCATCATCATCATCATCATCATCATCATCATCATCATCATCATCATCATCATCATCATCATCATCATCATCATCATCATCATCATCATCATCATCATCATCATCATCATCATCATCATCATCATCATCATCATCATCATCATCATCATCATCATCATCATCATCATCATCATCATCATCATCATCATCATCATCATCATCATCATCATCATCATCATCATCATCATCATCATCATCATCATCATCATCATCATCATCATCATCATCATCATCATCATCATCATCATCATCATCATCATCATCATCATCATCATCATCATCATCATCATCATCATCATCATCATCATCATCATCATCATCATCATCATCATCATCATCATCATCATCATCATCATCATCATCATCATCATCATCATCATCATCATCATCATCATCATCATCATCATCATCATCATCATCATCATCATGCTACACTGCGCTTAGCCATGCGCTGCATGTACTAACGCATGGATAAGTTGGAGCTAGCCACTCATCCATTGTATATGCCAATATACCAATTAATACAGAAAACTTAGTAAAAATCGTACCACCGAACTTTCTGTATCAATAATTGTACACTCTCCACATGAGTGGATAGGGGAAAAGTACATCAGTATGATAATAACTACAGCTTCACTAACACGTATTACGCAACTAGTCGAATTTCTTTACTACTCAATTTACGGAGTGATTGTGTCTTAATGGCCACTCGCACCAAGTAGACATAAAGTTGACTGCCTACCAAATTCTCTCCACTCCTTGCCCCTGCGTGGACGGACTAATACACTGATGTCCGACTCACCTAGTATCGCTTATTGGTCCTTCATAATTTCCATCGTGCTATCGATTGTTTTCAACCCGGAATTGTGGGATGAACGCATTGTGAAACGAATGCTGAGATCTCACACGAGTAAGAGCAATGCAGTGCAGATAAACAGCCATACGCAGTCATTGACTTACTCTTTCTGCTTTCTTAGTCTATCCGCTTCTTTGGTGTATTTCAGTGGTAGCGTACTGACAATTCCCAATTCTTCCTGACAAGGGGTGTAGAGAAACGTGTTTTCATGCTCCTCTCTGGGTGATGAATAACAACTAGCACATCTGGATCAAACCAGACGACTGTGAGCATAAAGAAAATGCGGGTGGATTTTGTTAAGGGTGTTCACTCCCTGTGCGCAGTGTGTGATTTGGAATTGTGGGTCAATTTTATAGCTGATGTTATATTTGTCCTGTGAAACATTGTCACCCACACAGGGAATGAGGCGACGAAGGATGAGCGGACACAGGATTCTGTGCGTCGGCGCATTAAACCAAATTAATGAAACGAAACCACCATGTGACGCATTAATGTCGAAGCCAACCAGAGAATGGAAATTATAAATATGCATTCCAATCTGAAGCGACGAATTTAAGCCTAACACAGATGTAACTAACGAAAGGTTAGAGCTGGCGTTAAACGTCAGGGAAACTTGTGATTCGCCTAAGAATGGTAAACATGAGTTCTTCAAGAAAATATCAGCAAATGTACACAGTGAATTGAGAGCGCACAATTGAAATTGGTCTCATAATATATACTGGAATTTGCGGTACATTAGCAGGTAGAAACCTGTGTTTCCAGATATTAGTGGTCGGTGGGAGCCAATATGGTCACATAATAAGTAATGTAGCATGGTTACATCCATTGTTGCAAACTTCTCAGACCTGGACAACGGACTAACAAGTAAAGTTTTGGTTGAGTCGTTGCTGAGTCTAAATGAAACAGAGCACTTGCCGTACGCCGTAAAATCCATTACAAGTATGAGTTCTTTCTTTTCAATTGGCTTCACTCGACAAAGCCACCAGAATGAACTTCCGAAGCTTACTTGTTTATAAATACTTCGAATGCACGGCCGAAAACGAGCGTTTATTTATTTATTTGCCCTCTTCGATTGTGTGTACAAACGGTCACAGACAATCGCCAGACGACACCGCATTCTAGAGAAGCATATAAGCTTTAATCCTTTTGTTTTTCATCTTATTCCATTATTTTTCTTCTCTTTCCATTGTTAGTCACGGCTGGGCCGATCTCCTGAGGTGGTGCATTGAAGCTTCAAATAAATAACCATACCCACACAAGGCGAATCCCCACAAACTCACTGGCGCGAAAAATAGTGCTGAACTCAAATACTAGTGTACATGCTGAAGACCTATTACATATAACAGCGGCATATAATTATAATCCTTCTGATCATGATCTATGGATTACGACAGCGGGCGAAAAGAAACCCAGTCAACATAATGACGGCTTACATTCCTTTATTCGACATTAGCACATGGCCAGATGAGGTGTGGAACTGCGAATAAAATCTTTCGAGAGGCCACCCAGCATACAAGCAGGTCCATAATCGATGGTCCCACGGATGGTCATATTACTTCACTTGAACTGCTTTCTATGTCTACATTGATTCGTACGCTCTAGTTTTCGCACTTTTATTACTTCTAAATAGTTGGAAACAGCAAAATTTCATTGGGATCTAAATTGTTAATTGCAAGCAATTCTCTCTGCCATCCGAGTATTCTGTACGTATTGACCAGACAATGCATTTGGTCTGTATCTCGTATCGTCATGAAATAGACAGTTTTGTCGTGTTCAAATACTTTGCTTTGTTTTTGCCCTCGATTCGCTTTTCCTACTCACACTCCATTTAGCTCTCGTTGGCAAATCACATGATCTTGCATTTGATTGATTGCAATTCGAACCTCTATCGGTTTAATTGTACTGTGCGTGTGCGCAGACATGTTTGCTGATCTGGTCTGCTACTTTTTCGGGATACAGCGAATTGGCCTCGCGTGTTACCGATGTATTTGCATGCAACTGCCCCTTCACCGTCCTGAACTGATACTGCGGTTACCACAAATGTAGAATGCTAGGAAGACTGAAAAATTAGTTTTTCAGATTCTATTTCTGTGTTACCAGTTCTTAATCCAGCCGTGACGCTGGAAACGGAGGGTACTTTTGCGCACCTCGGTTAAGAGAGTCGACGTATATTTGAAGCTCTAAACCTGCGGGAGAAACCCACGTTGACATAGGCCTTACAGGCCCTCGATAAACACTGGGGGTGATCGAGTGAACGCCTGTACTTCTCGGTCCAATTTTTCGCAGCTGAAACAAGCATCTGGTGAATCAGTGGATGCATTCAGTTCACATCATTTTTGTTCTGTTTGAAAGTGTGAGTACAATACAGTAGTATTCTCACGAAAAAAGTGCAAGCAACTATACCGATACAACAATTGATTTCTGCTCTCACGGATTCTCGGAACGGAGAGCGTCCCTTAATGGAGAACGCAGGGAAGCTCACATGGGACAGGGCTTGTGACATGGCTCGCGCGATGATTGCAGTCAAGGAACAAAACCAACTTTTCCTCTCTAACACAGGAGTTACTGAAGTTGACCGTTTGGATTCTACACGCTCTCTGACGCGATCCTTAGTTAGAAATAAGTGTTACCGTTGTGGAAATGCTAAACATAGTGCATACGATAAGTAATGTCCTGCAAAGAGTGAAATCTGCCGGAATTGCGGTATGACCAGTTAATTCGCTGGGGTTTGTCGTTCCCCCGCCATTTCTTTAACTGATTCTGCAAATGACTTTAGTGCTTCTCCAGTCACCACTGAACAACCAATATATGTTGTTAATGAATGCGAACATGCACTTTCGTCTCCAACTCAAGGACCCAAACTGTCTTCGCCATATATTCGTCGTGTGCTTTTGAAGTTAGAAACAAAACCATTTATCTAGACATGGAACTAGATTCCACGTCACCCATCACAGTTGTGCCATATTGTTTTTAGAAACATCATGTTTGTCAGCTAACTGTACATACTTCCGCTTACACTTTCAGCAGCTACTCCAATGGTAATGTCTACATACTCGGTTTGGTTACGGTTTCAATGTTTCTTCTAAGCAGCAGGAAGCGTATAGTTTAAGTCTCTAAAACTGATAGTAAGCCTCTATTGGGACGTAATGCCATGGTCATATTGAACGTATCACAACGCGTCAGCCGGATGACCATTGCCAGCATCAACCTTCATTCGTTACGGTCCAGTTACCCAAAGCTGCTTCTTCCGGATATTGGTAGAGTCCCAAAAGCAATGCACCACATTATGTAGAGCGCCGATTACAAACTATTCAGCAGTTCACAACCTAGGCCTGTACCTTTGAGCAAGCGAGAAGCGTTGTCGCAAGCTTTAAAAATATGATCACCGAAGACTTGATAGAACCCATACAATATTCTGAACGGGTTCATCCACTAGTTGCCATTCAAAAGAAAGATGGCTCTATTCTTGTATGCACCGAACTTTGCGCATTTAATCTACATATGTGGACAAATTCCCTCTGCCTTCTCTCGACGAGTTGATGGCTAGGCTTTCAAACTCTAAGGCTTTCAAAGCTGGATATTCGCAGTACATACTATCACATACCACTAACTCCAGGTTGTCGACATTTGACTGCTTTCCACACGCAAGACGGTTTGTATCAATACAAAGTGCTACCCATGGGCCTTAGTAGTGCCCCAGCAGCTTGGCAGAAATTTATTACTCTCTTGTTATCAGATCTCAAAGGATGTGTTGTGTATCTGGATGATATTTGTGTTTGGTAGTAACCCCAAGGAACATCAAGAAAACCTTTATAATGTGCTGCATAGACTGAATGAACTAAATCTCTGCCTGAATACCAGCTGATGCCAATTCGCTGTAACGGAGGTCAAGTTTATTGGACATGTTATTTCTACCTCGGGTATTAAGCCTAATGTGCAGACCACCAGAGCCATTCTCGATTGTCCAAAACCATGTAATGTTACACAGATGAAGCCGAATCTTGCGACAATTGCCGAGCTGTTACGGAGGTTGACGCGCCAAAACCAGGAGTATCGTTGGACCACTGAACAAGACAACGCTCACATGACCATACGAGCGATGATTGAATCCACTCCCACGGTAACAATCTCCAATGCGCACTGTCCAACGTTTGTTTCAACGGATGTTTCAGATGTTGGCTCGGCTTCAATTCTGTCCCAGCTGCACGATGGCGAGGAGAAAGTGCTTGCGTACGCATAGCGCACCTTGTCTGATACTGAAAGAAATTCTTTCACCGGCGAGAAGGAGGCCCTCGCATGCGCCTGGGCATGTGAGAAATGGCACTTTTACTTATTCGCAAGTCGATTCACTTTGCGCGCCGATCATTCTGCTCTTACAACGCTACTAAGTCGCGGTAACAAAGGCCAAAAGCCGGTACGCACGAGTCTTTGGTACTTACGTTTATTAAACTATGATTATGAAATAAAATACGTTACAGGGTGCTTTAACAAACCTGCAGTTGCTTTGTCGATACTCACTGTCCAATGAAGAGGAAAACGAGAACTTACAGGAGGTAAAAATCATATCGCAGCTCTCAGACGGAAAACCTACAATAACATTTGATCCTATACGAGAGCACACTGAGGAAGACCCTGTCCTAGTGAAACTTAGGGGTACATCCCCACTTCACGGCCCAATCGTACCAAGATCCAACCTGAGTTACTTGCATACTATGCCCTACGGCACGAGCTTTCTACTGTGAACAACTGCATTATTAGAAGCGAGGAGTTTGTGGTCCCTGCAACTATTATTCCGCTGGTGGTTGCATGTGCGCATGAAGGTCATTCAGGGAATGTGCGAAAAAAAGCTCAGACACGACAATACTACTGGTGGCCGAAGTTGAATTCCAGCGTCGAGGTGATTATTCGGGGATGTTACGCCTGTCAACAATTCGATAAGAGTGCGAGGCCCCTGAATGTTCTAGTCCAACCTATCGTGTACCCGGTGAAGCCATGCGCAAAGATTGCCCTCGATATTATGGGCCCGTTTGCCAATGCACCCCCGCAGAAGCGAAACGTGCTAGTGGCTACATATTTCTACAGCAAGTGGCCAGAGGCTATTCTATGCGGGGACGTAACTACAGCCGTCATCATAAATGGCTCCGTTATTTGTTTGCAAGATACCGTTTGTCAGAAGAA